AGTTTGAGATGACGAAAGAAGAGCAGTGCACCAGTTTTTACGCTGAACTGTATCTGCTCACCGCACGGTCCCCTGGCTAGGTGGAAACTTTGAAAGGCTGCACTGCAGAAGTACTATTTCACCTAAAATGTACCATTTAACGACCTTCCAGTATTTACAAAACGGTGTTCTGGCACAGGCACTGGTGACCATCTTGAGGAGCACAGGGAATAAAGGGATCTAGAAGATGCTGTAATATCTGTACTCAGCACTGGTGAGGCCACACCTCGAGTATTGTGTCCAGTTCTGGGCACCTCAATACAAGAGAGATATCGAGGTGCTGGAGCGAGTGCAGAGGAGGGCAACGAAACTAGTGAAGGGCCTGGAAGACAAATCATACGAAGAGCGGCTGAAGGAGCTGGGGCTGTTCAGTATGAGGAAGAGGAGGCTGAGGGGAGACCTCATCACTCTCTACAACTACTTGAAAGGACACTGTAGAGAGGTTGGTGCTGGTCTCTTCTCACAGGTAATTAACAATAGAACAAGAGGGAACGGCTTCAAGTTCCAACAGGGTAGGTTTAGACTGAACATTAGGAAGGAATTTTTCACCGAAAGAGTGATAGGGCATTGGAACAGGCTGCCCAGGGAGGTGGTGGAGTCACCATCCCTGGCTGTGTTTAAGGGCCGTTTAGATGCGGTACTGAGGGACATGGTGTAGGGGAGGACTTTGTAGAGTAGGGTAGATGGTTGGACTCGATGATCCCAAGGGTCTCTTCCAACCTCAATGATTCTATGATTCTACGATCTTTGGCCTCGGCAGAACCTGTGTATCTTGGACACAAGGAGTGAGGTACGAACAACTTGGCCGACTTGCGTAGCTCAGCAAGGTCCTGGCCAGGGGCTGATGAGCCCTGCAGACCACGCGGGGCTTTTAGCTCTGCAACACCCGTGCAGAGGTTGCCTTTTCTGTACGGTCGGTGCTGATTAGTTCAAGCTCCATGGGAAAATAACGCTGTATTTTCCAAACTTGCACAGCCCTGGCAGAGCCTCGGTGGCACGGAGCAGGGTCTGGCCACGGGCAGGCAGACCTAGTGATGTCCCTTTTCAGGTCCTGCAGCCTGGGCCAGCCCTACACATCGTCTTACGGAAACAGTGTGTGTGTAGGAGGGAAGAGGTGATACACACTCATCCCTTCTCTTAATTTCAGCTGAGTGGAGCTGGTGTGCTATTGAGCACTCAGGGTTGTTCAATCTCTTTTAAGTCTATTGGCGTTAGTTTTCCCGTGTTATTACAAGCGTTTTGTTGAGAAACTGTAAGAATTTAATAACCAGCACAAGGCCCTTTGTCGCGGCTGCGTGATTCAGTTAAGGAAAGGAGGAGGAAGAAGCATTTTCTGTCATTGAAATGTAAGTTTTAGAATACAAGCACACTTAACAGCCCACACTTAAAAAATAAACACGGCCTTTCCTTAAGGGAGGAAGCCTGCCTTGGTAGAAAATATTATTGTATCAAATATTTGTAGAACTCTCTCTGAGAAGAATATGACGTAAACTGTTGCTTGACTTATCCCTGGGAGCACACACAGTTGCTGAGTAGAACAATATTATGTTTGCTACTTTTGACACCAACAATTAGCAGCCCTATCTATCTGGTATAGGGACTATTTTTCTGACCGAGGAGGCTGGTGACTTGCCTTGTTAGCGTAAAGGAATATTTAACCATTTTGGTTGTTTGGGCTTTCATAGAGAAATTATCTGTGATTGTGGATTTAAAATTAACTTCGAGGAAGAAATGTGCATGTTGGAACTTTTTTTTACTCAGTGAATAACTTGAACTTGAAAGCTGCTGTGATCCGTGCAGCTTACTAAAAGGAGGATTTAGTCAAATTACTTGATTACTCAAATTACTTGAATTATTTGATCTAAAACATTAAATGCTTGATTCATGAGAAAAGTTACTTGATTTGCCATTAAGTGAAATAAAACAGCCAGGAATAAGCAAAAACTGGAACACTTGTTTCTTAAACAGGACCTCTTTTGAAACCTGTTTCATAGAACTTTATTCTCAAATAAGTTTAAACTTTTATAGTATTCATAGTTAGGGACAAGCATATTTTTATACAAAGCAAAAAGGCAGACCTTAAAAATCTGGGAAAGGCTGTAGTGCTTCACCAGAGAAATGTTTAGTAATGACAGCTAATGCAAACTGATGTCAGCCAGCAGCAGCAGCACATACATTAAGCTTTTTTTTTTTTTTAGCCTTTGTAGTCAAAAATGTTAAATAGTGAGATGAGAAGGTTGTTTTCTGATGCTCAGGCTTCCCACTCAAGAAATAGGCAGATTCTTCATTTGTCTTGAGGCTGATCCGGCTCAGAGCAGGAAAAAACTTCAAAATTATAGCTCTGGTTATTGTTTCATTCCTCACTGGCTCTACGGCATAGTTGTCTCAAATCACACCACTGTGAGGAGCTAACTCCATCATTTCTATGCATCTGGAACTCTAATGAATGCCAAACATCTCCTGTGGAACTTATTTCAGCCGGAGCCACTGGGTTTTCCTGCCTGTGTGTACCAGCAGTAATGCTCATCTCCACGTACTGCAGGCACTGATGGCTAATAGCTGCTTGGGATGTCGAACAGATCTCCTAAAATCTTCTCTCCTATTCTGAGAAGGATGTTTACAGAGCAGAAACAAGACGTGCTCCCAAGAGACACCTTAGGAGAAGATAATTTGCCCACAGTACAAATTTTAAGTTGTCTTTTCTTGGTAGTCCTTGAAAAAAATGAAGTTGTATCTTCAGCCCTGGCCCCTACAAGCAGAAGATGCCTGCAGCAACTCTGTTTTGCTTACAGAGAAGACAGGGATGGGTGGAAGAAACGTGTATGTGCCGTAGCATAATCCCAACTGATCCTAATTTTGGTGGTTACTTTAGGGTAACCAGCCACCCGGGCTCAGGAGGAGTCGGGCTGAGACAGAGCTTCAGGACCCACAGGAGAGTTGCAGCGTGTCAGGGAGGGCAGAGACATGAGTGAAATAAAGCAACGGGCCCTCCTGGGGGTACTGCCAGCAAACCCAGGATTGCTGCAGATGGTGCTGGGAGCAGGAGGAAAGTGTGGAGGCTGTGCCTCGTGGCTCCAACTCTGTCCCAGGCATCTCTGCTAAGGTCATTTTGTGTGGAAAAAAAAGAGTTCAAAACAAAGCGTGGACCTCTCCTGTCTTCCAGATCACAGAATGGTAGGGGTTGGAAGGGATCTCTGGAGATCATCTAGTCCAACCCCCCTGCTGAAGGAGGTTCTCCTAGAGCAGGCTGCACAGGAATGCATCCAGGAGGGTTTTGGGTTCTCCAGAGGAGACTCCACCACCTCTCTGGGCAGCCCGTTCCAGCGTTCTGTTACCTTTAAAGTAAACAAGTTTTTCCGCACGTTGAGATGGAATTTCCTGTGTTCCAGTTTGTGCCCGTTGCCTCTTGTCCTGTCACTGGGCTCCACCTGAAAAGCGTCTGGCCCCATCCTCTTGGTACCCACCCTGTAGGTATTTATAAGCATGAGATCCCCTCTCAGTTTTCTTTTCTCCAGGCTGAACAGAGCCAGGTCTCTCAGCCTTTCCTCATGAGAGAGATGCTCCAGTCCCTTGATCACCTTCGTAGCCCTCTGTTGGACTTCTCCAACTCTGTCCCAGGCATCTCTGCTAAGGTCATTTTGTGTGGAAAAAAAAGAGTTCAAAACAAAGCGTGGACCTCTCCTGTCTTCCAGATCACAGAATGGTAGGGGTTGGAAGGGATCTCTGGAGATCATCTAGTCCAACCCCCCTGCTGAAGGAGGTTCTCCTAGAGCAGGCTGCACAGGAATGCATCCAGGAGGGTTTTGGGTTCTCCAGAGGAGACTCCACCACCTCTCTGGGCAGCCCGTTCCAGCGTTCTGTTACCTTTAAAGTAAACAAGTTTTTCCGCACGTTGAGATGGAATTTCCTGTGTTCCAGTTTGTGCCCGTTGCCTCTTGTCCTGTCACTGGGCTCCACCTGAAAAGCGTCTGGCCCCATCCTCTTGGTACCCACCCTGTAGGTATTTATAAGCATGAGATCCCCTCTCAGTTTTCTTTTCTCCAGGCTGAACAGAGCCAGGTCTCTCAGCCTTTCCTCATGAGAGAGATGCTCCAGTCCCTTGATCACCTTCGTAGCCCTCTGTTGGACTTTCTCCAGCAGTTCCTTGTCTTTCTTGAACCGGGTGAGCCCAGAATGCTCAATGAACTGGATGAGCCTTGAGAACTCTCAAGATGTGGCCTCACCAGAGCAGAGAAGAAGGGAAGGATGACCTCCTTCAACCTGCTGGCCATGTTCTCTTTTAATGGACCCCGGAGACCACAGGCCTGCTTGGCCACAAGGGCACATTGCTCCCTCCTGGTCAACTTGTTGTCCACCAGGACTCCCCAGTCCCTCTCTCCAAAGCTCCTTTCCAAACCTTCCAAAAGGCTCCTGCCCTCATCCCCAGGCGGGACAGGGCCGCAGAAGAGCATGGGGTCCGTTCCTTCCCTCCCTTCCCGCTGCTGCCGATGGCCGCACGGCGGGACTCCCGGGGCAGGAGGTGCGGGAACCGGCGGGGGCCGGGGGGCTCCGCTGTCCCGGCCGGGCGGGGGCGGCAGGTGGCGGTTGGGGGGGGCCGGGACGGAGGTGGCCGGCCCTCAAAGGTGCGATTGTCCCCAGCTATTCCTGGTATGCGGCGGGGCGGGGAGCCGCCGGGGGCGGCCTCCACCGGCAGGACGAGGGGCCCGGCGGGACGGAGCCGCCGCCGCCACCGTGGCCGCAGGGGTGG